TCCAAGCTCCTCCCCCTCCCCGATCTCCTCATCCTCCCCGATCTCCTCACCTACCCCGATCTCCTCACCCGACTTCCTCACCCTCTCCGACTTCCTCACCCTCTCCGACTTCCTCACCCTCCCCGACTCTTCACCCTTCCAAACTTCCTAACACTGCTGTACATCCTAACCCTCCCTGAGCTCTTCACTCTCCCGAGTTCCTCACCCTACCCGATCTCCTCCCACTCGCCGACCTCCTCCCCCTCCCCGAGCCCCTCCCAATATCCTCACTCTACCCGAGCTCTCACGCTCCCTGAACTCCACACCCTTCCCTTCCTCCTCACCCTTCCTGGATGTCCACACCCTCCCCGACCTACTCAGCCTCCCGACCTCAGCCTCCGCGACTTCTTTATTCTCCCTGACCTACTTACCCTCCCCAAGCTCCTCACCCTCCTCACGCTTCCCGACCTTCTCACCATCCCCAATCCCCTCAACCTCCCCGACCTCCTCATCCTCCCCAATTTCCTCACAAACCCCGATCTTCTCACCCCCCCCCCCCCCCCCGAGCTCCTCACCCTCTCGGACATCCTAACACTCCTGAGTTCCTCACCCACCCCGAGCTCATCACCCTCCCCGATGTCCTCACCCTCCCCGATGTCCTCACCCTCCCCGATGTCCTCACCCTCCCCGATGTCCTCACCCTCCCTGATCTCCTCACACTACCCGATATCTTCACCGTCCCTTAACTTTGCCACCCTCCTGGACATCCTCACCCTCCCCGACCTCCTCAGCCACCCTGAGCTCCTCATCCTCCATGATCTGCTCACCCTCCCCGACCTCCTCACACTCCTCAATCTCCTCATTCTTACCAAGTTCCTCACCCTTCCCAACCTCCTCACCCTCCTCAAATTCCTCATTCTCCCCAAGCTCCTCACCCTCCCTGACCTCCTCAAGCTCCCCAAACTCCTAACCCTCCATGAGCTCCTCACCCTCCACGATCTCATCAACCTCCCCAATCTCCTCAACATCCCTGAGATAATAATAATAATAATCCTTGCATTTGATATAGCGCTTTTCACGTCGGGAGGACATCCCAAAGCGCTTCACAGAACACACTGTAAAGTGAATTGACTGTATATTTGTGGGCGAACGCGGCAGCCAATTGCGCACAGCAATGTCCACAAACAGTCGTAGATTGAAAATGACCAATTTTATTATTGTTTTTGGTTTTGGAGGGACTATTATTAGGCTCTGTGTGGAGTAAGGAAACTTGCCCAAGGTTTCGCCCTCTGCCTGGAATTGAACTCAGGTCTCTCGCTTGCAAAGCGAGTGCTCTAACCACTGAGCTACAGGACTCCACAAGATCCGCTCCCTCCCTGACCTCTTCACTCCGATTTCCTCACCTTCCCTGACATCCTGACTCTCCCCGACATGCTCACCTTCTCTAGTCTCCCCACCCCCCCCGACCTCCTCACCCTCCTGGACCTCCTCACCCTCCCCGATCTCACGCTCCAGAGCTCCTCACCCTACCCGAGCTCCTCACCCTCCTCAAATTCCTAATCCTCCATGAGCTCATCACCCTCCCCAATCTCCTCAACATCCCTGAGATCCTCTCCCTCCCTGACCTCTTCACTATTCCCGATTTCCTCATCCTCCTCACCTTCACCAACTTCCGGACTCTCCCCGACATGCTCACCTTCTCCAGTCTCCTCACGCCCCCTTGAACTCCTCACTCTCCCCGGGCTGCTCACCTTCCCTGAGCTCCTCACCCTCCCCGATCTCCTCAACATCCCTGAGACCCTCATCCCCCTTGACCTCTTCAACCCCCCCGATTTCCTCACCCTCTTCACCTTCCCTGACTTCATGACTCTCCCTGACATGATCACCTTCTCCAGTTTTCTCACCCTCCTCGAACTCCTCTCTCTCCCTGAGCTCCTCACCATCCCCGAGCTTCTCGCCCTCGCTGAGCTCCTCGCCCTCCCTGAGCTGCTCACCCTCCCCGATCTCATCAGGCTCCCATTGCTCCTCACCCTATCCGAGCTCCTCACGCGACCTAAGCTCCTCAACCTACCCACGTTCCTCACCATTCCTGATCTCCTCGATTGGGGATGGTGGGAAGGTCGGGAAGCGTGAGGAGGGTGAGGAGCTTGGGGAGGGTAAGTAGGTCAGGGAGAATAAAGAAGTCGCGGAGGCTGAGGTCGGGAGGCTGAGTAGGTCGGGGAGGGTGTGGACATCCAGGAGGGTGAGGAGGAAGGGAAGGGTGTGGAGTTCAGGGAGCGTGAGGAGCTCGGGTAGAGTGAGGATATTGGGGAGGGGCTCGGGGAGGGGGAGGAGGTCGGCGAGTGGGAGGAGATCGGGTAGGGTGAGGAACTCGGGAGAGTGAAGAGCTCAGGGAGGGTTAGGATGTACAGCAGTGTTAGGAAGTTTGGAAGGGTGAAGAGTCGGGGAGGGTGAGGAAGTCGGAGAGGGTGAGGAAGTCGGAGAGGGTGAGGAAGTCGGGTGAGAAGATCGGGGAGGGTGAGGAGATCGGGGAGGGTGAGGAGATCGGGGAGGGTGAGGAGCTTGGAAAATGTGCACGTCGAGACCTGGAGGATGTGAACATCAGGGAAGTGAGGGGATAGCACTCATAGTCTTATTTATTAGGTTAGGCAGAGCCCCAGCCTAATAAATAAGTGTTTGAGAAAGAGGGAAAGAGAGAGAGAGAGGTGAGAAGAATGGGAGAGAAGGAGGGAGATTTCAGAGAGAGAATGTGAAGTGCTTTGGGACGTCCTCCCGACATGAAAGGCACTCCTTTACTGCACCTCCTGCACCGAAGTCCCATTCTCTCCAAATTCCTATTGTAGAGGCCTCACTCCGTTCCCAGCTTGCTCTGGTGACTCTCTGCTCATCTACAATATCTATAACTACATTCTGTTCGCTGGTTGATAATGGTTGCTGTAATGTCACTGTGCCAGAGCATGCAATAGAATTCTGAAATTTTACCACACAGAAACAAAGGGTCCATTTTCTATTGCAACACTAAAAGGGTTATGCATTTAAT